CAGTAGTTTTCTTCGAACAGTGGGAATCAATGCTTTTCACTTGGTTGTTGCATGCATCAAACACTTCTTCATTCTGCATTTATTGTGTTTTTTTTAAAGAGGAAATCTGCTCCCACAGTTGGGTGACCAGATTTTTATCTGACCTTCAGCTGTCCAATTTAGTTGCTTCTTAAACATTAGCCTTTGATAGTAATTTATGTAGAATACAAATTAAAGAGGAAACTAATTGAAGCTATGATTTGTGGGTACATATTGCTTATTGTGACTTGGCATGTCTCTCTTGCTAGCAAAATGCTGTAAGATTTATACCACTTGATTTAGCTACTATTATTGCTCTTTAATCTCTACAAAGTATATACATATGGAAACATTTTTTCAAAAAACTTTCTCATTGCAGTAGTATAAAACATCTCAAAGCCAGAATAAATGAAATACGCAAGACACCTCCAGTGAAGTAGAATCTTACAGCATCTTTAGCAAGCATCTCTTAGCAGAAGTGCTTTGGCAAATTCTTTTGAAATACTAGGATTGCTGATCTGATCTTGACAACTGTACAGAAACCTGTATTGTAACATTGTCTCAATATTCACAAGGATTGATTGTAAATTACCTTCATCTTTGTGTGGATTGAAGGAGCACAGCCATTTGCTCTGAAACTGCTTTTGCCTAAAGCTCTTTGGCTTTATCCCCTTGAGATTCTAACTTGCATTATGATTTGTAATTGGACGCATAATTTCACTGACGCTGTCATGTGATATTCTAATTACTTTTAACCACCATGTAAAAATACTGTATATCTTTTGGGTTTTTATTGGTAGTTATTTCTCTTGTGCACAGGTAATAAATGAATTAAACTTCTTTGTGAGCAACTATAGTTTCAAAGTCATTTTATCCTGATGTCAAAATTTAAGATCATCATACCTAAGAGACCTAACAGTAATATGCATTTAAGATCCAATTTCTATAAATTAAACAGTACTGTAAGAACCTTGCCCTAGGGCAGGCTTCTGCCACAAAGTGAACTTACTGCATTCTCTCAAAGCCAGTTTATAATGACTCTTGCTTGGAGGTCCAGTGTCAAAATCACCTAGTTTTGAGAGACACATTTTGGGTTGATCCAGTGATACAATTCTGCTAATAAAAGTGCTTCTATCAGAAGAGCTAGGAGGGTAGTGATTTCCTGCCTCTCCCCTCCTGCCCATTCACCCTCAAAATCTGCTCTGTGGGGCTGGAAAAGCCTCAAGAACAGACTTTTGGGCAGCACAGAGGGCAGTGGAGGGAGGTGGATGGTGTAAACTTTAACCCCTTGGTTCCTAAAGTTGTTTCCTTTGAGGCCGGAAGATACCCTGCTGGTTCAAATAGTCCTTCTCATGTGAAATGGGGGAGATTGGCAGGTGGCTTATTCTGGCAGTCCAAGAATAGCAACTTGGGAAGCTGTCTTGCACCACATTGCACTATAGGATTGGTTGACATGATTGTCTCAGTGGTTTGCTCCACATGCAGGTAGCCATCAACTTTTGGGAGGGAGTTGCCATGGCTTGTGGTCTGAAGCGGGGTCACTGGAATTGCTTGCAACTCTCAGCTAACTGCAGCAAACCATGAGTTATTTGATGGCGGTTTTCCCCTGTACAAATCCCCACCAGGCAGGTTTGGATGGCAGGGCAAACCATAATAAGCCCTGCTGGGGCTGGATATTCAAAATGGCCCACAGCACAGACTGCAACTCACTGTGGCTTAAATAAGCTCAATGGGTTGCAGTGATCATGTGAATTTTATTTGTCCATGAAATGGTACTCCAGATGATGTCCATGATAAGGAATCTTAAGAGTTAGTCTGAAACGTGGAGAGTCATTTGGGTGGCAGCAGTTTTGCATGATCTTTCACAAAGGCAGTTCTTGTCATTTACCTGATCTTTTTTGAGCAACAGATTGAGCTTATGGCTTTCTACCTACAAAGCACTTGACCCTTATGATACTTGTTAACCTACAGCAGTTCTGTGTACCATACATCCTATGACTGAATGCAAGACTTTGTGAAAAGCCATTCTTCCCCTTACTCCTTTAGGTGGCTATGGAATATGTTTATTACAATCAATGAGGGTCCTTAACATAAATGTCCAAATTTTGTGGTACTATCAAAGTCTATTGCATAGCTTGCTGTCCAAACAGGAAATTGGAGATTTGGTGTTGTCTATTCCATTTGCAGAGTGACCAGGGCTTGGATCATGGTGCTAATGTAGCAGATTGATTAGAGGCAGCACTCAATTTATTAATTCCTTTTTTGCTTGTCCTATCTAGCCCAATGTTCATAACAACAATTAGGGTTGCAGATTATCTTACTTGAGTGAAATCTTTTCAGCAGTAGTCCAATATGTACTTCAAGTATCTACACAAAAGAGATATGCTAGCTAGTATATGTACATTGGGCAGTAACTTGGACAATGTAAATTACACTGAGCTAGCAGAAAGGACCTCTAGTACAGTGCCAAAAGTATCAGGTGGTGCTACAGGATTCCCTGGAAAACCTAACAAGCTAATGCTACTAGTGTTGCACTTAGCAATCCCTTGCATGAGTGTAGCATAATTTCTTAGTGTTTGATTGGATAGATGAGCCAAAATGATCAGAGCATCTGATCCAACATTTCTTTTTTGGTGTCTTCTGAAACTCGAGCACTGCTTTTTAGATCCTCAAGCTCAAAAACAGGTTGAAGATTGGGAGATTCAGATTCTACAGACTCAAGATGTGAAAAACTTCAATGCAAATCATGCTCTTGCTTACTACACATATCATAAAGAAGTCCTGTTTCAGCGTGGCAGATATGGAGGAATTACTGAGTTGCAAAGAGAATATTAAACATAGTTCGAATAAAGTTCTGATTTTTAGATTACATACTTGGCTTAAGGTACATATATGTCAAGACTTACCATATTTTTCGCTCTATAAGACGCAC